AGAGTATGTACTGGAAATGGAGATATGAGTTGAAAGCTAGTGTAGGAATCCAGGAGGGAGATAACATAATCTAGACCCGAGCAATCTAGAAAGGTAGAGAGAAATTTTAAAGTTGAAGAGAGAGTTAATTGAATTTTCTGATTCATTAGGGACTGGCTGAAGTGATGTCAAGACCCTACTAAGTTCTGAACAAGACAAAATAGCTGGTATCCCATTTATCCAACTGCTGTAAATAATTATGAAACCAGGGCAACCTTATATAAACACATGCGAAAGCAATGAACTATGTTATGACTTCGAAAAGAAGGGAGGCATATGATGGGAGACCCACATCATCCCTGGGCTTCTCACTGAGGAAATTTTTTAAAATGCCATTCAGAGCAATAGAATCAGGGCACTGGCCTCACTCCAGAGAAAACAGGGATCGCAGTCCGGGGCTGGGGTTCAGATGGCAAGACGTCAGAGAGGAGAAAAGGGAGAAAAGCATTCCACACATCTGAATAGATGACACCCTAGGTCCTCTGACAGTCCCTACCCTGGCCATGTGCAAGGCAAGATTCTACAAGGTGAAGCAGAGAGCAGAAGCTAAGAGCTTCCAGGGGTCTCACAAGTTCCTCCGTGTCACACTGGAGAGGCCTGGGTGTACACATTAGGCCGTCAGTGGAAATTATGCCTTAGTAGTAAGAGCTCTGCTCTAATATGGGGATACATTAAATACACCTGTGCTGAAATGGATTAAAACCATGCATCAACAGTATATTAGTCTGTTCGGCTGTTGTAACAAAATACCACAGACTGGGTAGTTTATTAAGAACAGAACTTACTGAAGTGGCTTCTATTACTTGTTTTATCACTTCATTATATTTTCTCAGAGATTCCCTCATGTAAATAAGCCATCTATTAAGTTTCACCTTGATATTGTCTATTCTAAATGTAGTAAAGGTTTTGTGATATAAGAGGAGCTTTTTACTATATTGATTATAAAGTAAATGTCAGAGCCTATGCTAGTTCCTATAGATATAGTATTTCCAATACCCATAACAACCTACAAAATATTATATTTTTTAAAAAGTTAAGTAAGTTGTCCAAGATAAAATCATGACAATGGCTAGAACTGAAATTGAATTAGTCTGGGATCCCTTACACTAGACCCTGTCATATATAATGGAAGGCAAAATAAAGCTATTTCAAAGGGTCACAATTATATATACACATAAATACATAAGATTTAAAATGATTAAAAATGTTTGTGTATTCCTATTACAAATGTGTAGCAATACTATGTCAAAAAGCAAAAAGCTGTTTATCTAGAACAGACTGACTGCAATTTTGCTGTTCCTTTTTTTAAAAATTTAATATATTTAAGTGTACTTTTTATGGAATATATAGAGGTAGTATAAAAATAAATCTTGGTTTTCCCCAAATGTTTATTACTAGTTTTAGAAGGAAATAATTTAAATATTCTGTGCCTCAACGGTTACTCTGCACTTCCCAGTGTGGTGGTCACTAGCCACATACAGCTATTGGGCAACAGTCATACGGTCAGTACAGGGATGTTGCTTGAAATGTCAAATATAAAAAGTATCTTTTTACTGAGGTATAACTGACATACAGTATTAGTCTGATTTGTTATTTGTATATATTGCAAAATGGTCACCACAATAACTGTAGTTATTATCTGTCACCATGGTTACAAAAAATGTTTCTTTCTTGTGAGGAGAACTTGTAAGATCTTTCTTAGCAACCTTCAAATATGTAAGTCAGTATTAATTGCAGTCAACAGGCTGTACATTACATCCACTATGTTTTTTCCTATAGCTCTGCAATGCAGGTGGAAATCAGAGAGTCTGATGCCTCCAGCTTTGTATTTCCTTCTCGATTGCTTTGGCTGCTTGGGCTCTTTTGTAGTTACAGACAAACTTCAGGTTTTTTTTTTTTGTATTTCTGTGAAAAATGTCATTGGGTTTTTGATAGGAATTCATTGAATCTGTAGATTGCTATTGATTGGGTAGTATGGACATTTTAACAATATTAATTCTTCTAATCCATGGGCATGAAATATCTTTCCATGTATTTGTTTTTCTCATTTTTCATATTTATTGCATGTTGATAATGGTAAGATGTTGGATATGCGAGGCGAAAGAAAATACATTATTATAGTTAATTCCATCCACTTATTTGCCTTTTTTTTTGTAACATGGCTCCTATCTGGCTCACCTGTATTTCTTTGAAACTTTGATTAAAAGAGAAAATAGATATTTTTCTGGCCAGCTCCTTTTCAAAGAATTCCTAATATTCTTTAGTAATGCAAATATGCTGCTCGAATCCACTGTAGGAGCCACAGGGAAAGTTCTAGAAATAGTAAATTATTCTGTACATTGAACAATTTTTCTGTATTTGTTTTTAGATAATTTATTATGCTCTTTAATAACAATTATTCTGTATTGGCAATGCAGTATATTAAATTACTAGTAATATTTAATTGCCCTATAGTAACCACAGCACAATTCTATGCCATAAACTGTGAAAGACATGTTAGCAGTTGACTGTCTTTGCATAACATTTACAGATTTGTGGCTATAAAGGACTCAAAGTACAGAACTTAAATTACTATAAGATAGAGTAGAATTATGGTATAAAACCTACCACATTCAGGGCCAAGTAAAACACTAATACATAGGGTCTGAGGTCCACTATTTATGCCATGTATTCCGAAGTAGATGACACTTTTTTTTTCCTTGCCAAGAGTTCATGTCAGAGCAAGAGAGAATTCCTTTGGCAGAAAGAGTACAGAGCAAGGGTGGAAAGCAGAAACCGTTCATTTAGCAACGTAAGAGCTGCCAAATTAAATGGGGTGCACTCTTATGAACTGGTGAAGAAAAATTGAAAGAGCAGAAAGCAGAGTAAGTAGGGATGTATGTCGGAGAGAGATACAAGGATACCAAAAGTTCAGATCATGCCTGAGTGGGGTACTCAGGTCCTGCCCCTTCCTGACAGAAACCCTCTGGTCTCTTTCATAAAAGAGAATTTAAGGTACAACCATTTATACGGTATGGTCTCATACCCAAAATAGTACAGCATACTATTTCCCAGTGCTGCTGAAATGCCAGAGCTGTTAGATTTTGCACTGTTAAATAGGTATTTTTAATAGGAAGGTGTCAGAGCATTTCAAATATGACTTACATGGTGCTGCCAAATTGCTATAGATCTTATTCCTTGAAAATTAACAGCTGGAACAACTTTTATTCTTATCCCCAGTCCTTATGACTAAGAGTCTAACTTGTCAAGATAACTGTCATTTTTATTATAAATTTGAGCTAGTCGTGTTTTCTCTATTCCATTCAGATCATTATAAATGGTGCCAAATTTTTAGAAAATGGATTTATAATAATGTAATTTGGTCTGAGTAAATATCTCCTCATAAGGAAAATAAAACAGTTAACAGAAAAAATATAAACAGCAAGGAGATTTGATCAAAGAAAAATACAGGATCAGAAAAGGAAGCAGCATTGTTAGAAGTCAGACAGAAAGTAAGCATCCCAAGAAACCGCGTGCATGTTTCATTTTGTCAGGCATCTCCCACAGGATGCAGTGGGAAATGGCCTGTATGATGGGGTGAGACATTCTAAGGAGAAGCTACGTTTAGTGAAAAACTGAAATGGAAAAAGAGCTGTCTAGTATAAGAGAAAGATGAAAGGAAACCTGAAGAACAGATTCTAAAATTGTTTTGAACACAGAGCACTAGAAGCCATTAAAACTTAAACTTGAAAAGCTTTCCCAGAATTCAGAGGGGAAAAAAACTCTGAGTTTAAAATGCTTGAAGAGAATCTAATTGATACAGTGAACCACAAAGGGAGGGCGAACATATCCCACTCTCTGAAGGAATCACAGATGATCAAGAGGTGGAAAGAAAACACAGAACAAGGAAAACATCTAAGAAATAAAATTGCACTAAAAGCTTCCCCAGCTGAAATTTAAAGAACTGAGCACACAGATGGAACATGTTCTTCAGTTGTATTAAACTTATTATGTAATAAACTTATTACATTAGGATATATTCTGTGCACATTTTAATTATGCACAAGACTAATTTTAGTACATTGACAGAAAAAGTGATTCTTTCAAGGGGCAAACATGAAACTGATGACAGCTGTCTTTTCTGTAACACTGAAACAGTAGAATGAGGTTTGTTGAAGGCAAAATTGTGTGAACTTAATTTCTATGCAATCCAATTGTTCTTCATGTGTGAAAGCAACAGTATTTGCTGCTTATCCTTGGAGGAAACACTGAAATATATAGACCAAATTACTGAGGGACGAACCAAAATAAAGAGGCCAATTACAGCAAGAGCTAGATCAAAATGTCAATAAAGTTCTAAAACTAAGAGTTCAAATAAAAATTCTCATATGTTTTTACTTTAAAAATGCAAAACCCCAAAATACATTAAAATTTATATGGTAAAACTATAATACTAATCTGGGTCTAATCTACACTAAAATAATGAATATGACTTGGGGACACAAATATTATCAGAATTTTAAGTTTATATGAGATTATGACTATTTAACTAGAAGGAAAGGATAAAGCACTCAGGAGCTGAACCCTACACATCAGAAGACTTCAATCACCTGCAAAGGGACATAAGTTTGAGGATTCAAGGATGTGGAAATTGTTGTATATGTTGCTTATTTATGAACACCACACATGATTAATCATGGATTTAAATCTCAAGCATAACAGTTACAAACTGAATGGGTTAAATAAAATTTATTTAATAACATTATGAATTCATATCTCCAGTCTACATTTTTACTCATGTAATTTCTAGAAGGGCAGGAAGAGCGAAGGGAAATAGTAAGATAAATAACTCCTCACTGAGGGCGACATTTAAAATGTAATTATTTTATTCTTAACCTTAATTACAGAAAGGTAATGAAGAGATTCAAGATTTCAAAAAAAACCTAAATGACTTTTAGTAGAAACAAAATCAAGATATATACCTCCCAAGCCAAATGCAGAGGATACAACATAGCGTACTGCACAGCGTAATCCCTGTAGGAAAACACAATGCACAGAAAACATCAAGTATGCAAAAGCAATAAAGAACACAAAGCATGCTGATTTTTTATTTATGACATTTTTGTTAATATTTTAAACACTTTTATTAAAGATAGAACTTAAGGTACAACCATTTATATTCTGTTTAAGAGAGGCACAGGAGTGAATCTGGGAAAACGGGAGGTAGCAATTCGAGCGCAGACCCCGCGCTGGTCTGGCGCGCCTGCTCTCCTCCTCCAGAGCCCCCTTCCCTCTGTAACGACACAGTATTGTGGGCACACACGTGCAGTGTCCAGAGCGTGCTCCTCACGCTTTGCTTTCTGGCAGTGAAAACCAGGGTGGGGTCACATGACGCACGGAACTCGACGCAGCAGGAAGAAGGTGCAGAATTGCCCCCTCGGGGTTTCGGCTCCCTGTATCAGTCCTAGCTCAGCCCCCTGTGAACAAATCCCTTAGTGGAAACCGTGCCTCGCTGTGACTTTTATTCATCAAAGTCCCTTCTAATCATGAAGGTCTGGTGAATTTGAGGGGCGTGCCACCGGTCGATTGCCTATCTCAAAGTCTCCATGAGAGGAAAGAGATACAACTTGTACAGGCACCTGAGAGCAGCCTTCCTTCTCGTAACTCATCAGGGTAAGTTTTCCCGTATCTCCTGTTGGAGCAGAAACTGTTGGGCATTCCATGACCATCTGGTTGCCACAGCTGAGTGACTCTAATATCCTCAAATATACAGCTACAGAAAATCATATCCAAAACGTGATCCAGAATAGCATTCTAATTAGTAGAAAGAATGATGCTATGGGGATGAAATCAGAGTATGAACATTACATTTTGTAACTAAAGAAAAGTCACATACTATAATTTTAGATTTAATGGATGAGATTCTGCATCGAAATAAGAGATGGTACATCAACCTGAGCCAATGCTGCTGGCAGCAACTAGAAAATAAAATAGCCAAATTACAAAAAACATATTTGCAAAGGCAATGTGTAGATGCAGCGGAACTAGGTAGACTGAAACCTCAGTGAGGAGAGAGTCATCCAGATGTGAGCAGATGACCACCAAGCATTTTTTGTTTTGTGTTTTATTTCCCTGGAGAATATGCCAGTTCTGATAATGGCTTTGCTCAGGAAGAAAACTGTGGCTGGCGTTGGTGGGGGAGGAACCGCAAGCAACTGGAATCACAAATTCGGGATCTGAGGCCAGCTTTTCCAAGACGTTTGCAAATTCTCAGGCTTTTGGGAGGCTTAACGAGATAAGCTAAAAGCTTCCGAAAAGAAGGAAAAAAGTCTTCCATAATTCCACTAGAGATAAAGGCCTGGAAATAAAGCAAGCAAGACCTGACAGCCTCAGAGAAAGCTGGGATTCACTGGGGCGCCGCTAGCAATCCTGGGTCAAGTGAGAAGCATGAAAATAATAAAGGTTGAAACCAACAAACAGGACAATTGTATGTGGGAAGGAACTAAGAACAGAGAATAAAATAGAAGTAAATATTTACCTATTATTTTCAGAGTTCAAAAGGACATTGCGTCCATAAAACAAATATTTTTTTAAAGAGAGGCAACAGCTTAAAATTAAAGAATGTTTTACCTTGCATAATGCCATTTCTATTAAATTACTAGTGATTTATTATAATAAATGGGTATGAACAAAAGATAAAGACAAGGAATTCAGGAACTTGGAATGGAAATTCCAAAATGGTAGAGCTGTGCCTAAATAGTAATCACTTTGATTAGTTATCAGATATCATTGTTAATTTGCAATTAATTTATTGAGTAGCAAAAGTAGTCTGAAGAAAAAAAAATTAAATATGGGTACATGGATTATTATACAACTAAAATAGGTGATGATTAAGTTAAAAAAAACAGATGCCAAACAGAACTTGTAGTTCCTGGGTGGGGTTTACAGATTTGTATCCTCTTGTACTGATTCCTTTATTATTACGTAAAGTGCTTCTCTCTTGTTCCTTTGTTTTGAAGTCTAGGTTGTCTGATATAAGTATTGCCACTTCTGCTTTTTTCTTCTATTTGTGTGGAATATTTTTCTATCCCTTTACTTTTAGTCTGTATGTGTCATTAGATCTGAAGTGAATCTCTTGTAGGCAGCAAAATGATGGGTTTTGTTTTTTTATTCATTCAGCGCCTCAATATCTTTTGATTGGTGCATTTAGTCCGTTTATATTTAAAGTAATTATTGATAATATGTACTTACTGTAATTTTGTTAATTGTTTTTGTAACTTTCAGGTCCTTTCTTCCCCTCTTCCCTTGTGACTTGGTGATTTTCCTTAGTGTTATACTTATGTTCCTTTTTCAATTTCTTATCTGTTACAGGCTTTTGGTCTGTGGTTACCATAAGGCTCATGTACAGCTTCATATATATGGCTCCTCACTATATATATACCATCATATATATGCTATATATAATATATACCATATATACTATAATATATTGTTGCTTCTTTAAAACACATTCTAAAAGTACTACTTGTTTATTATTTCGCCCTCAATATTTTATGTATGCCATAATTTATATCTGTTTTGTGTATCCCTTGACTAATATTGTATATAATTGATTTTGCTACTTTAGTTTTTTGAACTTCATACTTTCTTTGTAAGGGATTGCTCTACTACCTTCACTGAGGTTTGCTTTCACTGATGACATTTAAATGTACAAACATTTCCATCTAAAGTCCCTTTAACACATCCTGTAAAGCTAGTTTAGTGGTGACAAGTTCTTTTAACATTCATTTATCTGGAAAACTTTAAACCTCTCCTTCAATTCTAAATGATAATCTTCTGGGTATGGTACTCTTGGTTGTATATTTTTTTTCCTTTCAGCACTTTGAATATTTCATGTTATTCTCCTCTGGCCCATAAAATTTCTGCTGATAGCCTTCTGGCATTTCCATTGTAGGTAACTATCTGCTTTTCTTCCACAGCTTTTAAGATTCTCTTTATTTTTAATCTTTGCCATTTTGATATCTATGTGCCAGTGTATGGACCTATTTGGGTTCATCTTGTTAGGGGTCTCTGCACTTCCAGGACCTGCATCTCTGTTTCCTTTTCCCAGGATGGGGAAGTTTTCAGCTATTATTTCTTCAAATATATTTTTCTACCCCTTTCTCTGTTTTCCTTCTGTGAGCCCTGTAATGCAAATATTATTTCATTTGCAATTTTGCAGAGCTCTCTTTGCATCTTTTCATTTTTAGAAATTATTTTTTTCTGTTCTTAGCTTGGCTACTTTCCACTACCCTGTTTTCAAGCTCACTGATCTGTTCTGCATCTTCTAATCTATTTATTCCCTTTATTGTATTTTTCATTTCAGTTATTGTATTCTTCAGCTCTGACTGGTTTATTTTCTATCTCTTTGTTGAAATCCTCCCTGAGATCATTTATTCTTTTCCTCAGTTCAGTGAGCATCTTTATGACCATACCTTGAAGTCTTTGCTTATCTTCGTTTAGCACTTTTTGTGGTGTTTCATCTGGCTCCCCTTTCTAATACAAAACCTGTATTAGATAGGCCAGCTATGCCTCCTGGTCTTGAAAGTAGCAGCATTGTGGAGTTGACGCCCCACAGTACTGTAACTCTCCCTGGTGTCCAGCCCCGGTAATCATCAAGGCCCAAAGCTATGAGGGTTTTTCCTCCCAGAGCAGATCCTCAGAGCCAGGTATGCCAGGCTCCTGAGCATTTTCTCTTCCCCACTATGTTCCTGTCTCCCTCCCGTTGATGGGCGGGGATGGGGAAGGGCCTGGATCCTGACCTATCATGGCTCTGTGGTCTTCAGGTTGTTTTCAGAGTCAGTTGTATTAGATACAGTTGCTTTCTCAGTGTTTAAGTAGGAGGAAGTTCTGACAGTGATTCTGCCATCTTCCTCTGTCTGGGACTGGTATTGATGCTTTTTTTTAATTTTTATTATTTATTTATTTATTTATTTATTTGAGACAAAATAATTTATTTTTTTGAGACAAAATAATTTATTTTTTTGAGACATAAACAAAGCAAGTCTCATATTTATTGATCAAATGGTTGTTAACAACAATAAAATTCAGTATAGGGGGGACAACGCTCAATGTACAATCATTAATCCATCTCAAGCCTAATTCTCGTCAGTCTCCAATCTTCTGAAGCATAACGAACAAGTTCTTACATGGTGAACGAATTCTTACATAGTGAATAAGTTCTTACATGGTGAACAGTACAAGGGCAGTCATCACAGA